TCTCTAGCATCAAGATATTTCCAAGAGCTGATATTATAGCTTAGAAATCCCTAGCTGAAAGAAAGCTTAAAATCTGTGACATTTCTGTTAAGATACCAATGAAAAATCATTGATTAAATAAATTCTTGGATGCTCGTTACATACTAGGTATTGAGGCATATAAAGAACATTAATTATGCCTGCCACCCTCAAGAAGTCAACCACATAGTGAGAGAGATCAGCTACATCGACACATAGCTAAATCACAAGATAAAGTGAGAAAGTAAATTATAAAGTATCATGCAAAGTTAAGGGACAACAGATAGAAATTTACAACTCTGTAAAGGCTGTAAGTCTTCACAGCTCTAAATCAAAGCAACATGTGAACATAACACTGTCATCTAAGAGTCCCAGTCCAGTGTAAGAGACATCAAGCCCCTCTAGGCTGGAAGGATAAGGGGCCTTACGGAGTGGACAGCACTCCAGGCACAGGTGCTTGGAGAGGATTCTACAAGACATGCCACCATATCTACTGAAATCTTCTGAGGGTCAGTGCAGCCGAGGATCTACGAGCACTGTCGGATCAGAATGGGCGGCAGACGACAGGAACAGGTCACGGGCAGTACCGCTGCACACGAGCTGGAGCTCAGTGAGAAGGGCCTGAGCATAGACCACGAGGAGCAGGGTCGGGGGAGGCTGGGAGGGACCGGGCACGGCTGAAAGGTAGTTAAGGCTGAACTCTGATTCTCAGGGTAATGAGTTTAGATTTTATCCAGGACACAAAGGACAACCTTCCCTTTATCTCTGAGTCAGCAGGTGTGTGCGCACACACATTCCGTGACCCTAAGCTTTCACACTCCACTAGGGTCCTCAGAATATTTTCTATTATGCCCCCATTTTGGATTGACTGTCCACCCCCCATGCCTCCTTATGGCATAGAACCTACCATGGTGAACTAGAAGTTTCTCATGCACTTAATAATCTATCATATTGAATAGTAATTTCCTCTTCTATTGCACTAAGTTTGAGGGTAGGAACTAGATTTCATTCATTCATTCATTCATTCATTTATTCATAGTAACTATCAAAATGTCTAACTATCAAAGGTCTTCAATGGAGTTTACAAATGTTTACCTATCATTAAAGGTCTTATTTTTAAAACAGAATATCAATATAAACTATTTCTCCCATATTGTCAGACTTTTGTCGTGTCATCGATTTTGTGATTCTTGTCTATTTCTGTATGACTTTCTCCTTGATCCCATCACTTCCTTCACCTCTCAGCATGACCTTAATGCTCTCCTAAGAGCCTACAGCACTGCTCCTTAATCCTTTTTAAGGTTCGGAGAGCTAGGAATTTCTATATCCACCCTCCGAATGTCCATTTACTCAAAATTCGGTTTGTTATAATTCTATCTTATAAAGTCTCCTAAATAGGTGAAATGAATCTAACATTAATTAGGTCAGGGGAGGTGGCAATGGCAGGGAGCACGAGGAAGGCCCGCAATGCTGGTAATAGTCTACTGATCTCAGGACCACGGACATTAGCATGCTCCCTTTGTGAAAACCCACTGGGCCAAAACGTCTCTGTTCTTAATATTCCCTACAGTGGAAAGACTGGTAATATTGTCATAACTGATTATTTTCAGGCCCTGAAATGCGCTGGAGCAGAAGCTGTTTTCCCAGAATCTGGTGAAGTGGCAGAAGCAGGAACGGCCGGGGCACGGGGATTAACTCTCCATTAATCACTGTTACTTACTGGTACACACAAATAACCACCTTTCAATATTCATTGAGATGGACAATTTGCACTGTCTTGATCTAATATAGTGTCAATAAAATCGTCACTAGAAACACAAAACAAACCTCCAAAGCCTATGAATGATGGGCAAGAAAAGAAATCTGCCGCATAAACCTCTCCTAGAAAATTTTTCCCTGCTTCTCTCGTTTCTTTTTTGGTTTGTCTGTTTTTCATCTCCACGGCCTGTGATTATTCTGGTTGTGGGCCATGCTTTACCATCTTGGTTCTGACCAATGGCGGTTTTCCTGCTTGGGAGGAGACAGATGTTACGAGACCACCACAGGACTTTTAACCACCGGAACAAAAACAGGACGCTTCAGTCGGCATTGGGTTGGAGCTGTGAAACTGGGGTACTGGACCATACGTCTGATACGTTGCATTTCTAAAACTAAACGTCGGGGGTTAGGAAAACCGTCAATTACGAGGACGGAAATACAATACCAAGACTGAGGCTTCCTAAAATTTCTTCCTCTCTTATCCCAAGTCCACAGACAAAGTTGGGAAGCGCCCATCACTGGCAATGCCCACTCTGTTTTCCTGACTGGTCCTCACCCTGCCTCAGTTTAATGGACAGACGCAACACACACCCAAATCAGAACTTATCGGCTTTCGGAGCAGAGGGAATCTATTTATTCAAAATATGAGGGTCGCCAATCAAAATCACTCAAAACCTTATGGGAAAAGAGAAGAGAGTAACTGTAATAGAATATTCATTTATTAACAAATATTTATTGTGTCTGATGTTCCCAGACTATTTTCTAGCCCCAAGGAAGCCTAGTGGAGCTTA